TATATATATATATATATATATATATATATGGAAGATGGATAATTGAAAATTTTGATTCATAGGATGAATNTTTTTTTTAAAAAAAAAGTAAAAAAATTGGATATATAACAACTAAGGTTCGCAAATCATCTCATAAGCCATCAAAATCATAAAAACATGTTTCCAAATATTTTTTATTTTTAAATAATTTTTTTTCATTTTATACATATTCTGTGGTGCTTGGCCAATTGGGTTTGCCTCGCCCTAACTTGCCTCGCCCATATGGCGAGGCTTAGTAACTTGGCCGAATCCAAGTTGACTCGTCTGAATCTTAAAACACTTTGATGACTTAATGCTTTTATAATCACTTACGGTCAGGAACTCGCCATTGGCCCAAGGCGATAGGTCCACATATACTTAAAATTTATATAACAAAAGTAAAAATTATTAAAAATAGTTTAAAATAACAAAAATTAAAAGAATTCATAAAAATCACTAAAAGACTATAGAACATGAAAAAAAAAAAAAAAAAAAAAAAATACTGCATACCCCCTTTTCTTATCATTTCTTTCACAATAAACTTAAAGTTTTAAAAGATATATTGGGACTTAAAAATTATAAAAATTATAGATTTTATTTTTTCTAACCCTGAGTTAATTTAAATTTGTTTTTTCAGGCCAAACAAATCTAAAAAGACATGTATTTTTTTAAAAGCCATCCTCCCAAACTTCTTTGGGAAAGCTTTTTATGTTCCCCTACAACATAGAAGTTCTATGTCCCCCTTATCCAACTGTCCATTTTTTAATAGAGGGCTAAGATTGTCTCAATCACAATGTCACGTCTTTATATTGTTTTATTTTTAATTTTTTTTTATAAACTATTTTGACACCAAATTTGAGATGTCCATTCCTATATTAAACTCGCACTATTGAAAAATATAAAAAAAAATATTTTTAATAAAATAAAATGACCAAAATACCCTTAAAAAATTTAAAGGGATATTTTGGTCTTTATTTTTTATTGAAAAATTATTGTTAATATTTTTTATAGGTATGCCCCAATGAGAAGATGACACGTATCAAATTTTATATTAAAAAAATTGTATTAATAAAACTAAAAATAAAATATTTTGAGATGTCGGATCTAAGATCAAATGATGAGCGGCTCTCTTGATAAAAAAAATAGATGGCGGGATGATAAAGGTAACATAAAATTTCTATGTTGTAGGAAAACACAAAAGGCTTTCCCAACTTCTTTCTATGCACGCTTTCTCTCTCTGCATCTTTTCCATCACTCACCCCTCACTCCCACTCCTCTTGCTCTCTCCCTCCAAGTTTTCCATCTCTCTCCTCCCAAATAGAGAGAGAAAGAACATCAATAGAGAGAAACAAGAGGCCACAGAAAAAGCTACTCCCACATAAACCCGATCAGCTCTCCCTAACTCTCTTAATCTTATGGATCACAGTTTCTTCAAGCAAACCTGCGCCTCTCTCATGAGATCTGCACTTACAAAACTCTTGCTCATTTAAAGCTTCATCACCGTCATTGTCTCCCTCTCCAACCATGGCCATGAGTTCTCTGGGATAATCTAAACCCAAAAGAGTACAATTTTTCTTCAAGCTCTCAAATGTTATCAAACCCTTCGATGGGTCAGCCAAAAGCTTGAATCCATTTAGCTCCGCCTTGAAAACATCGGCTTCGAGGTTTTCGACCATGATAGGAAGCAAATCTTCATACTCTATTGCCTGGTTTTGGCTCATTTTTGTCATTTTTTGGCTATTTTTTGCTTTTATTTTATGGAGGTAAGAGGTTACGGGAGGAGAGAGAGGGGTTTGAAAAACACGGGAGGAGAGAGAGTAAAAAACACAGTAAGAGAGAAAAAAGAGAAGTTTGGAGCACGGGAGGAAAAAGAGAGACCGAGAGAGAGGCAGAAGGAGAAGTTTGGAGTATACAAGTAAAGAGAGATAAATGATTGCGTTTAGAAAGAATACGTCTTTCTCTCATTTATTTAGGTTTAAAATTACGAGAGGGTTAGAAGATATCTTTTACTGCCTAGGTTTATCATTAAACTTAAAAATAGAAGATATGAAGATATTTTTTCAAAAAATATATAAAAAATGGATTATTAAAAAATTTGAGTTATACAATAAATATTTTAGAAAGAAGAAAAAAATAAAAAATTAGATCATATGATAAGAAAATTTCCTTAATCCGTCTTAAAAACTATCAAAATCATCTTAAAAACATATTTCTAAATAATTTTAAAATCTTTACATTTTTTTTATACCTAACACATATTTTTTGATGCCTGGTGACTTGGGCACCCCCAATGGCCTAGCCTTATAATAAACAAGCTGGTTAAAAACAACTATTTTTACATTTGAATCAATAATTCATATTTGTATCTGCAGTCATCGGCAATATGCTACAACTTTGAATGTCCAAAGAGAAAGCATCACAAGCAAATAGAAGCAACTGGTTCATTAATTATGATATGGAATCATCAAATAATGCAACTCTTTTACTACAATGGATCTTTTACATTCTCTGTAATGATAAAGCAATCTGGTAGAACAAGCTCAATCTCAATAAAATGAATGATACATTAATACACAAACCAATCAAAATAAACATTACCCAATTCTCCTTCAACCAAGACATTCCAACCATCCACCATTATGTGAGCTCAGTGAGCCTTTCTTTCTGCCTTGAAACTGCGACTATACCACTTCTTCTTGTTAGACTTCTTCCCATCATAAGAAACATTTTCCACTTGGTAGTCGTCCGCCACTGAGCTTCCATTGGATGTTGTTCTGATGAAGGTGCCCATTGAGAATGACGATTGTATCTTGTCTCGGAGCTTTAGCAGCTCATCAACCTTAATGGAATAATTGGGAAAACATTAATAAATGGAACCATATAAACACTGGTATAATGTAGCATAAAGTCTAGGAATGGAATTCTTACAGCTTGCTTCTCCTCCGTATATCGCTTCATAACCTGCTGAAACTGGGCCAAAGCCTGGACACATCATTGAAATCTCATTAGACCCACATGAGTTTCTCAGAATTTTTAATCCCCTGTGTGCGTGTGTGTGTTTGTGTGTGTGGAGAGAGAGAGAGAGAGAGAGAGAGAGAGAGAGAG